CGATGATACATTTAAGTTCCACGAATTCTAAAAAAAAAAAACCTGGTATAAATTGAATTATGTTCTCATATTTCTAATTCTTTATATAATACTCAATTCCGAGGAACCCTACCCATCCCCCCCCCCCAAAAAAAAACCAAAATAACAATAAAAAAAACCTTCACATACAAGCCACGTGTTCTGAAGAATTGCAGTCGAATTTCTTGACTTTAAATACAAATCTGAGATGTTAATCTCATATGGGAACTGAATTGCATCATTATCTGTCAATAATCCGCAATCTATTTCCTCAAGTTTCTGAAAAAAGCATATTAAAAACATATTTGTTGTTTCAATGTGTTTGTCTGTTTTTGTGCACTCGTTGCTGATTAATTTTCGATTATTAGATATTTTAATATCCCATCATGAGTTTTGATTAATGGGAATTGTGTTGGTTTACTTTCTTTATTCCTTCGTATTTAATTGGTATACAACCATATTGATTAATTTTGGAATAATATGTTATTGTCTATTTTTACTCCATTTGTATATGTACTTCACCATTGTTTACATATCATCTAATCTTATCTTATCTAGAGTATCGTATGACGTTTCTATAATTGCTTTCTTTCTATTTTGTAAGTGCTCAGCCTTTGAAGGCAGAAATAATTGGTCATGCACTTTTTCTTATAACTGTAGTTCTTGCATGGTGTTTATCATTTTGGTTCAATAAGTTTTCTTCTTTTAATGTATTTTTTTTTTTATGTTATATGGATTTGTAAATTCGACCACTGCATCGATTGCGGTATGATATTTCTCCACTCGAAACAGTTGATTTTTATTTAATTATATGTTCTCAAGAGTTCAAATTTAACTGTCTACATTAGATAAATATGGTATCTCACTAGAAATGATTGGTGTCGGTGGTTAGATCTGTTTCTCTAATTATTTTTGAGACGATATGTAGTCATATGTACTTTGTTTTCAATGATCTCAAAAATCATTTGACGTCATCAGGCATAGTCGCTTTATTCCGTCAACATCACAATAGAGAAATCAGAGAAATGGAAGACAATTCGACGTCTTATAGTTTTAAAAATTGAAAACACGAGATCGATGGAGTTACATAATAACCATATAAAGAAATTAACTGGTTGGGACGAGTGTAAATCTGCTAAGAATTAAAGGAATACATATATCTAAGTACGAGGAACTTTATAAAATCTGTTGCGTAATTTTGTTGGTACGAATTCAGAACCATTTTTTGCGATAACATAGAAATTTGAAAAAGAAATCTGCTCGGTGCCATTACGACTGAACAGTACAACAAAAAATGGGAGTTCTTATTTTTTTCTAATTGAGAAATAATCATTATCATCCAAAAGAATTTATTATTTATTGAAAATAAATAAAAGAGGGGCGATAGATACCAGAGGGACATTCAAACTCATAAATCGAAAATAAACTGACAACGCCATGGCTAAAAAAGACAAACAGACAAACAATAGTACACAAAACACAACATAGAAAACTAAAGAATAAGCAACACGAACCCCATAAAAAAATGGGGGTGATCTCAGGTGCTCCGGAAGGGTAAGCAGATCCTGCTCCAAATTGTTTTCAATTAAAATAAAGAACATTCTGTCACATTTTCTCTTATGTTCCAATGTAAAACAAATCGTTTGACTGCCTTACTGGTTTTGATTTGTCCTTATTGTTATTTTGATTCTAGCGCCACTGATGAGTTTTCTGTAGACCAAATGAGCGTATTGTGTACTTAGAAAATAAGCTGTTATCTTTGATGACATTTTCCTTCAATCCATCGAAGGCCTTGTAAGCAAAGGTATAAGAAAGAAGGTCAATTAAATTTTCGGAAAAGCATATTTTGACATCTGTATATCCTTCTATCCGATTGGAATCAAAGTTACGAGGTATGGTACACATATCCCATAACTGTTGAAATATAAGTTGCCAATTTAGTTCAATAATGAGCTTTTCTGGTGGACTGTTCCATGGTAATATTCGTCCGTTAATGTGTGTATCGGAATTAAGAACGACGTAAAATATAATTTTTCAATGTTCCTTCTCCGTCAAGCAAAACTAATTTTAGATAGTTTCAACTATTTTAAGACCAAAAGCGCGAACCAAAGTATAACCCTTGTATCTTTTATGAGTTTTAGGAACAGCTGGATCGTTGTCACTATTAGTTGACGTTTTGTCAATAAGGGTATTACCAGCCCAGTAGTAAGCACTTTTGTAAAGTCATGAATTTTCACTGATTTTCTGTTCATAACATGTTGAATTATTTGAAACTAAGTTTTTCAACCATCGAGAGTAGATTATCATAGCTGTATTTGGCACTATTTTTCTGATTTTTTTCAGTGCTCTTTAATTTCGTATTTGATATAGCCTGTCAACGGTTTTGATGCAAGCACGAGATGTCTTAAGAAGACGAATCAAGCGTCTCGTGTATCACAGTATAAGCTAGGTATTTTTGATGAGATTTTTATTTGGCTCTCTTGGTTAAATAGCTTGTTATTTATTATTGTCCAAACGTTTGGCTTAAGGTGTTTCTGGTGGAGGATAGGCGTAAATGCACATCTTACACAGAAATAAAGAGTCGGTTTTACTTGGACATCAAATACAATCATACAATCGTTATACATTAATGTTCACTCTTTATTTTAACTAACATAAAAGTAGAAAAGAAATTTAACAATTCATTGTAAATTCGTGTGTTAAGATTTGATGTCTAACTAGAAATTGGGAGAGAATAATTTTTTTTTTTCATTCATCTTCGCTTATAAATTCACCTCTGTTTTGATTTGCAAACCTCAAAATGTCTACACGTACTTGAAGAAATCAAAATCAAAAGAACATAATTTGTATTGCTGTTCTTTATTTTAAAGTCATTAGGAGATTTTTCGTTTACAGCAAAATATCATACCTCACTACAACATACATATAAGGATGGCTTCCTGAGATCATTTTTGTTGTTTATATTATTTTGTTTCTATCTGATTAGAATACTAGGCATATTGATATTTATCACCAATGTGAGCGAACTTCTGTCTGGGGAACATGAGATAAACCAAAGTTTTTGGTGTGGTTCGTGTTTTTCAGTCTTGGGATTTCTATGTTGGTTTTTTTTTTATTATTTTTGTCTTTTGATCGTTTTTCGTTTTTTGCCTTGATATTGTCAGTTTGTTTTCGGCTTATGAATTTGAATATCCCTTTGGTATCTTCTGCCTCATTTCGGATGTATTTTGGTTATTTGTATTGTTGGGTTTCTATCACCTTGACAAATACCTCTGAGCTCTTGTGAGTCATATATTTAGCACCACTATGTTGGGTTTCTATCTAAATGACAAATATCTCTGAGCTCTTGTGAATTATATATTAGCACCACTATATTGGGTTTCTGTGTCATTGACAAATACCTCTGATCTCTTGTGAGTGTGAGAGATATTTAAGATTACATATCAAAATAAAAAAAATTCTTAACAATAATTATATATTTTCCGGTGATCCTAGTAACAAAACAAACATTTAGACAACCATGGGCACACCGAAAACATTCATTTCATAACTTGAAACAAGAATAAGGAAGTCCGATAGATTTCACAAAAGCAAAATGTCATCGTTGTTTTAACTCGCAAATCTAACGAATAAACTCATCATATAGGTTTGAAACGTTCTTTGAGAAGCTGTTGTATGTCGATTTTTCACTTGGAAAGTCAAAGTTCGCTTTATCATACCATCAAAAGTATGATCTTTTCTGTTGTAAATTTAAACCTACCGAATTAGACTTGTACTTACATAAGCAACACGACGGATTTAACATGTAGAGCAGGATGTGCGTACCGTTCCGGAGCACCGGAGATCACCCCTTATTTTTGGTGGGGTTCGTGTTGCTCAGTCTTTAGTTTTCTATGTTGTGTTTTGTGTACTGTTGTTTGTCTTTTCTACGTTAATCGTTTTTTGTAATGGCATTGTCATTTTTTTTCGACTTATGAGTTTGAATAGTCATTTGGTAGCTTTCGCCTCTCTATTGTAGACATTGAAAAACACAGACATAATGATTAGATTAAAGAGAATTCACATAACAACCAGTCATTGAAGATGTTTGATATACTCTGTTAATTTGTTCGGGACATTTTAGTGAACCCCAAGTTTTGTTTACCCAATCTTTTGTTCATAATAAGGTACTGTTTTATGTAGTCCAATGTATTAATGTGTTCCCATAGCCTATCTTAAGTATGCATAAGACAGATACATAACTTATTAAGAGAAAAAAGATGTATTGAACATATACAAAATCGATTTACCGGGACAATATAGCAATTATTTGTCTTTTGGTTTTTTTCATTTGAATTGTTTCGCATTTTGTCAGTAACTGCAGCCTATTATAGCTGGTTATATGGTCTGGTTTGGTTCATTATTGAAGGCTGCACTATGACATATAGTTGTCTAAATTCACGCCATTTGGATACTATTGTATAGTCGTCACAACAGCAATCATATCACATCTTCTAATTTTATCATGGGTATTTTAGTATACAACATTTACATTGGTAGCCTTGGGTTGTATATTGCTCGTTTGTAGGATTATTGTCTCTTTGAAACATTCCCCGTTTCTATTCTTTATTCTAAAGTATATAAAATGTGTACACACAAAAAAAAAAAAAAAAAAAAAAAAAAAAAAAACAACGTATATATGAAATTGCAGATTACAAATTAATCCTCTTAAAGTTTACGGAACAAAATTCTTTATAATTACTAAGTCACATAACCATTTACCTGAAGTCATGCATGACTGTGTGTTTTTTGCTGTGCATGTACTGATTTTGTGTCATGGATATCCCATATCCTGTGTTTTTTCTATTATGAAGTGTCTAATACATCTTTAACTTATCTTACTGAAGCTTATAACAAAAGAAGTGAAATGATATTTAGGACATTGAATTAATTTGACGATGAACACTTTATTCCTATTATTAATAACAAAAAGAAATCATCTGGTATCAAAAAGGTTTTATTTAAGGAGTGACCATCAACACAAGCAATAAAATTAAACTTATGGCAATATAGAATGAGTTTCTATATTACAAATTAAGTAAGCAGATAGAGGTTAACACATTAAAAACCTGTTTGGTATGCTTGAGTTGTATCATTGACGTAACTATATATCAACATACCTTTACATGCATAGAATATCTCCATGGTTTAGTCTATCATGATATTAAATAAACACAAAACAGTGATCGTTTCAATCGTGAGAATATATTTTATACTAAAGGACTTTCTTATGTAATGTATGTTGCATTTTGTTTAAATGTTGACTCTTTGTTATGCCGAAATATTTGTCAATACAGTATTATTTGATCTTATTCGTATATAGTTATTATTTGTCAGTATCTCTCAGCAAATCTCTATACCCTAATATGTCCTCTGTCTGTGCAGTATCGTCAGTTCTAGATTACCGATTAAATAATTTACTGTCTTTACATAGTCATGAATAGGGCAGTTGTTTTTCACTTGTTCCTTTGATTGATAGCGTTTGATTTTGTCAGTTTTTATGGACCTCCGCCTTTTTGAATTTGCCTTAGAGTTCGGTATTTATGTAATACTTTTTACTGGTTTGCTGCTTTTTAAAACTCTTACTTAATTACGTAATTTTGAATTTCATTCATAAAAATCATCGTGCCATCGCAATTTTTTTAATTCAATCCCCAAATGGCAGTACTTTTCAGAATTCGATCATGTTAGTCTTACAACTATAAGTTAAATGGGCTATAGTTCTTATGGAAATTAATCACTTAACTGTAAACCAAAATAAAAGTCTTGTATATACATGTGAATGTGAAACGATTTTAATTCATATAACTAACCGGGCTAACTAACTATGACCTCAATTTATCCTAATTACGTGCAAATGTATTATTCTATTTTGAAATCTGACGTTACAAGGTAATCGCGAAATTATCGAAAACTATTTGAAAGAAAATAAAGTTCATTAGTTGCCGTTGCAACACAATTGTATGTTTACCTGTTTTTTTTTACATTTGTGCAACATAACCTGGTTATATTTGCTACGCATGTGTATGAATTATTTCTGAATAATTACTAAATTATTATTATTTTATGAAAAACTTAATTGCTGGTGCTACAACTCCAGATAAAACACCTGAAAGACCTTGCAAGAGTTTCCCAGTCGAAGGTTCATCTTCATCCTCTATTTTTTGTCTAATAGTTGTTCGAAGGTCGTATCTTTGTTGGTTGTTGATCATATCTTTCATTTTTTCTTTTTCGATCTCTAGCTTTTTATGCTCTTCTTCTAGCTTCTGTTTGATTTCGCTTTCTTTTGCATCAGCCATTTCCTGTCTAATTTTTTGTTCCTGTTCTATGGCGTTTTGTTCTAACTGCCTTATTTTCTCTTTCATATCTTCATCTAATTTTGATCGTTCTTCTTCCAGTTTTAGTTTGACCTCATTTTCTTTTTCGGTCGATATTTCCTGTCTCAGCTTTTGTTCTTCGTCTATGGCTTTCTGCTTTTGCTTTGATATTTCTTCTTCTATTTCCATCTGAATGATCTTTTCAGCTTCTTCAAACATTTCACTTGTGTAGTAAAGACCGCCATTTTTTGTCACAGTTTCCCTAATAAGACGAAGCAGTACTTTAAACTGTTCTTTTCTTTTTTTTGAGGGTGCTGTATTATCGAATGCAATAACTCTATTCTCACAACGCGTCATGAGTGCCGCTAATGCCTCAGGCATTTCTCCGAAGTATGTTTCAAGCTTATCTTTAACCTTTCCTTTCTTTGAAATGGTATCAAGTTTCGTGAAAATAATAATAACATACTTCTGTACATCCTTTCCAAATAATTTAAACACCGTTTCTACAGACTCTTTATCTTCAGGGGAAAATCTGCCCATTGATAGGACAAGTAGAAAACAGTGTGGACCAGGAGATGTTAATCCAATACACTTTGCTACTTCTCGATGTGTGTCTTGAGGATTGGTTGAGGTGTCGAAAAGACCAGGTGTATCGACAACAACGATTTTCCTATTTTCTCGAACGGCTTCTTGTAGTTTGCATTTTTTTGTTACGGACATCAACGCGTTTTCCGCCTTAAACTTTTGCTTTCCAAGGATCGTATTTCCGGTGTCACTTTTGCCTACTCCTGTTTTTCCTATTAGTACTATTCTAACCTCATCTTCAAGGTTGTAGCTATGCTCGGTCGAGGTGAAAAGATTTCTAACAGCACCAGTTAAATCTGCAATAATAGTTAATTTGATAATCATAACGTTTAAACATTAATATAAAGTTGTAAAATGTCAAACAAACACGAAAAGTTTTAAGCAAGACTGTCAAAAAAAATATACCTGTAAAGACTCCTGCCATAATGAAAACCAGACACAGAGTTTACATGACTCTTATATCAACATACACCTGACGACAGAATATAAATTGCAGCTTTATAATGTTTCTTTTATCTAGCCAAGCTACCGTAATGCGCTAGTGAACATATTCAATTGACATAAATGTAAAAAATCATTATACCGTCTTTTCTCATATAAATATTGCAAATAGATTGTGTTCTTTTTTTTTGATCAAACCACAGCACTTTCAATAGATTTTGTGAACGTTTAGTGAACAGTTTGATGACAGTGGAGAAGTATGTGCAGATTATTAAGGGTACACTTAGTTCGTGATATGAATAATAAATTGTAAATTATAGAATTAATTTTACAGTTTGCCGAATGTATTTTATCTCCCTTTTTTTTTTACATATTATAAAACTTCAATGTCATCGATCACAGGCAGTGTTAAACTCTCTTATTTCATAAGGATTGTATTAGATAAACATACAATTTTATGAATTAAAAAAATAGATAAATGAATTCTAAAATAAAGTTTGAAGAGATGGTTTTCATGATTTTTTTAGTACTTTCAGAAGATACTTTTAAATTGCTACTTGAGTTGTATATTCACAAAATAATGCATATTTAATGAAAATTTAATGAGCTACCTCCCGTTTAAACCCCATTTTTATTTGATTAAATCAAAAGTCTGTCTATTTGTCAATAAAATTTTACCACAAGGCATTGAAATACTCTTGAAATTTGAAAATTCATGCAAATGTACCTCTCGCGTTGTTCGACCTATAAGATGTTCGGCTAAGAGTAAGGCAATATAGAATTTTGGTAACTTTCTGTATTTGGTATCTACAAGTACTACTAGCATGATAATATTAAAAAAATTAAAAAGAAACATCTCTCAAAAGACATCCGGAAATCGATAAAATGATAGTGAGACACAATAAATCTTTCAACATCAATAAAAATTGGCTTCGAGGTTAACAAGTCTAAAAAAGTAAAATAACAAAAAACTACTCCAAGGAAAATTCTTAATGGAAAGAAATGGCAAAATCAAAAGCTCAAACACATGAAACGAATGGAAAAGAACTGTCATATTCCTGACTTGGTTCAGGCATTTCCTTATGTAGAAAATGGTGGATCATACCTAGCTAAACCTCTCACAGAAATGTATGACAGTCGCAAAAAATTCCATTATATTGACAACAATGTGTGAGCAAAATAAACAGACATACAAGGTAAAAATGTCAAAAATTGGGTAAAGCAGTCAACAATCTTAATCGCTATAAAAGCAAACAACTATGTCAACAAAGAAAAACAAAATAGCATGTAGACACTCTACAGACAAAACATATATTCAAAAATGTAAGACAAGAATACAAAAAAAGACCATAGCACATTAACACAAAGGCAGGATGAAAAGGTTAAAAATATACAAAGACTAATAAAAAGAACACTATACCACGTAATTAATTTAAGATGATAAACAAAGTTAGCACTTATAATCTAAACTTCAAGACAATCATGTATTATTTGTGTGAAGTTGATACGGAATATTTATCAACAAGGTCTTGATATCTTCCGATGAATTTTTTTGGAGATGGGCGAGACGTTCTTTGACTATTTTGACTTCATCAACTTTCTGCTCAGACACTGGTGTCGTTTTATAAAGTCTGAGTAGCAGCTGCCAGCTATTGAATACCGAATGAGTTGGGAAATGTATATCCCAATCGTCTTGTTTGTAAAAGATTCTAGTATGAGATGACATCTTATGTCAAATTTGAGGTATAAGTCTAAAAATGAAGACGAGGAAGCCGTGTCTGTTGTTTCTTAAATTTCTATTTCTAAAATACACATCTTTTAATTTAGAAAAAAAGAATATTCATTAATTAAACTTGTCTTTTAATTAGCTTTCGGTAACTGTTCGTAGTTTTAAATCGGAGTTTTGTGTTTATCTGTTGTGTATTTCTCCTTCGCAACCGTAAAAGAAATCGACATTGTTTTCCAAATTGCTCGTTAAATGCCCTGGATACTGAGACTCAATATGAGAGTTATTTCCCCTTTTGTTTTTGATATAAGTGATATAAATGTTACTCATGAACTGAAAGTGATAGAGACCTGGGGTATCTTGATTTGAAGTTCTAGGTCCACCAAAAAGAAAATTATGTCAAGGTCATATGTCAAGTTCATGTTCTAAATTTCGCCCTTTGCTTGTGTGTGCATCTTATCTCATACTATAAAAGCTAGATATAAAAGAAATGGTGCTAAATTTTTGGGTTGTTGAGACAAAGAAATCGTACATTCAGTCCAAAGCGATCTGATGATATCTTATAGTTATTGCCCCTGAAATTTAAACTTTAAGGTAAATCCATTAATACTTCATTCTGGTACATGATAAAGCCATAGGGTCTTTAGCAAAGGGTTTGATGACACATGACCTTGAAAAATATCACCTGATGTGACATTTTGGAAACCGGAAGTAGCTGTGTTTGCACAATTCAAGGGAAAAATACTAAGAAACTATATATTATTAGAATCAGCAGGCAATAACCTTTTAATGACACCGGAATGTACCTTTTGTAAACCGGAAGTAGCTAATTATCTTTTTTATTTGAAAGATAAGTTAATAGAAACCATATATATTTTCGGAATCAGTGTAAAGTAAGCAATCTAAAGTCACCAGATGTTTTTTTATTTGTTGCTTTTGCTTGTGCGTGCTATTTCTAAGCAACAGATTTTCACTAAATTGGTAGTTGTGATATGTCGTAACAGGAATTTTTTCTTCAAAGCAGTGCGGTAAAAGAGGTGCGAAAGATAACAAAGGGACATTCAAACTCATAAGTCGAAAATAAACTGACAACGCCATGGCTAAAAGAGAAAGACCAACAGACAAACGATAGTACACAAAACACAACATAGAAAACTAAAGACTGAGCAACACGAACCTCACCAAAAACTGGGAGTGATATCGTGTGCTCCGGAAGGGTATGCAGATCCTGTTCAACATTTAGCACCTGTTGTGTTGCTCATATTTGTACAAATTTTTAATGATAGGACATACAAGCCCTTGACTATTGTATCATCGGGGAGATAGTAACTCCGTATGCAGGCGCTGCTGGAATGTTGCTACATAGAAATAGAAAATTCACAATTAGGAAGCTGAAATCATCTCTTTCGTCGTAAAGTTTAGAGCAGAGTAATTTTTATGTCTTTAAACTAGAGGCAATAGTATTTAACCAAATTTTACAACTTGTTAACTCCTGTAGTGGTCAAGATAAAGAACAAACAAAAACCCGAGGATTACATTACTGTTAACAGTGCGGGACCCGATGATCGGTAGGGTAAACATGTCCTGCTAAGTATCCATCAACCGCCATGCGAATCCACACTCAATCAAAATGTAACAGAATGACATAATCAAAAAATTCGAAGATCAGTCTGCTCTTATGGTATCTAAAGATCTTAGATCGCAAAAAACATATCTCTTAGGAGATGGGACACATACACATCGTATCGGCTAACCAATTCGTGATGATGACAGTAACACTTGTGTAGTGAAGTTGAGCTTTGTGTTTCTACAATATTTATCTACATATAAAGTAATAATAGGGATGTCAGTTCGATGAATATCTAATTATCGAGTATTCGTTGGCTTTATCGAGCGATACTCGAATATTCGCTCGGAAAAAATATCTACAAATTGGAAACACATAATTAAACACGTTATACGTATTGTTTAATGTCGTAAAACCCTCGACATTTTTATCTAGAATTCGATAATAGTCGAAGGAACTGTATATCATAATTGATAGCGCATTTTCTACATGTACTAATTATGTAAACAATAGTTCAATAAACACCTATTGGAAATGTTTACAAAGTCAAACCAGATAAAACAACAGTATTTGGTAATCGTAAAGAAAACACGTTTGATAATTAACAAAGAGGTGATGCTTAGAACTTACTGATGCGTGTGACCATTCGAGGGTCAACATAGAGTGCACCGAGATTGTTTGTATTAAGAAATTATATATTTTGTCAACTTTTTCTGGACAAAGTCGGTTTATCTCAACTATTTTACTTCACTAAACGTCCTGCAGACGACATATTTGCTCTGACGGTACAGATTAGAATGAATGAATGACTAAGACACGTTTAGTCAAAAGTGGAAACTTAATAAAACTGCTCTAATGCCTAACCCACTTTTTTTCGGGGGAATTTTTGTTTGACAATTAAGCGCAAACATTCGAATCGTATTTTAATTTTGATTAACGAAAGATTACTTTTCAATTTCACGTGCGCTCTCGATAAAAATCAATTGGCAACAATATTCTAACAGCAAAACCCATTAGTCGAGTATCACTATGGTATTCAATACTAGGTATTATCGAGCGATACTCGAATACTAGAGTGACATCCCTAATCAATATTGAAATCATTAAATGAGAGCTCAAAGAAAATACACCCATTTGGTATAGATTTGAGTATAGTACACTTTAAATTGGAAAATTATGTATAGGATTAAACATTAAAATACCCCCAAAATTACTTGTGACTACTCGATTGTATTGTTTACGAAGAATTGGATGTCTTCATATTATATCCTCTCAGAATGCATAAATAATTACAGTAATATTGTTTTTACTACACTCATTGTGAAGATAAAGCGAAATCAGCGTTTATTGAACCAAAAACGAAAAATTACATGTTTCAAAACGGTCTCGATAATGTAAGTAAACCCAGTAAACCATTATAGGTCAAAGTACGGCCTTCAACACGGAGCCTTGACTCACACCGAACAGAAAGCTATCAAGTGCCCCAAAATGACTAGTGTAAAACCATTCAAACAGGAAAACCGACGGTCTAATCTATATAATAAACGAGAAACGAAAAACACTTATGAACCACATCAACAAACTATTTTCTATTTTTCTTGGAGGAAACATTGAATATTCTTACTAAAACAAAAGTTTCAAACCATATAACTTGTTTTTCAATCACATTTTTATCGGCTTTATCTCAGAAGATAGACGATGGAGATTGGCAGTAAACGTCAACAAGTTTACTATTTCAAACTTATATAAAGTTTCAAAAAACCAGGATTC